AGTTGGAAGCGCCCTTTATTCTGTCATACCCTGCATCAACGAGAGCATTTGAAGCAGAGGTTGCCGTGAATGAGTCTTTGTTGAAGGCACAATTCAGTTACTCCCCGGGCGTTATCTAAGAGCGCTTTCTCGCCCACTGCACACCGAGTGGTAGGGTGTCTGACGCACCCCCTCCGCAGAGGTGAGATAGGAGCACATGGTGCGCCCCGTTCCACGAGCTAATCCGACTGGACTGCCGCGCGAAACCTCTCTGTACACCGCCCTTCTCGTCCCCGCCCACGCCGTCGACCTCGCCCTCAGCCCCAACTCACGCCCACGCCCGCGTCTGGACTCTCACCTTCACTCCCCTCTCCAACGGCCGCTCGCACGTTCACAGCCCCAACCTTCACCTACTCCCGTCGCGCGCGTGCCCCGTTTCTTCCCCCTCGCTTACGCCCACGCCCGCGTCCGCGCTCTCACCTCCACCCTCTCTCACGCCCGCGCCCACGCTCAGCGGCCTCCACACATAGTAGAGGCGGGGGTTGCCCCAGCCCACGCCCGCGCACACGCGCGTCCGATCGCCCACGCCCATGTCGCCTACCACGCCCCCCCTCCATTTCTCTCAATTTAGAAGATTTTTTTAGTTGTAGGTACGTGTTATCAGCGAGTCAAAATAAATAGTGACTGCATTTTGTTATAAAAAGCGTTGGGCATTTTGCATTGCTTGGACTTGCGGGTGTTTTACGTTCATCGCGGAGGTCGAAAGATCGGGCAATTGTCGTAACTTATAAAGTCGTGAGGGAAGAGAATGAAACTGACCGTAACCAATAAGCGAATTTTTTTAACAATCAGCTAACTTTACCCTACTACGTATACATCTACAACGTTTTCAATCACTATCATCTAAACAGTGTATTCCACGCTTGTTCATTTTATTGGTATTCTTGGGCTTTTTGTCAAAAATAATTCATGAACAGGGTTTACATTAAATAAGGTGACATATTGAGTACATCGTGTTATCATGTTATGATTCATCTACACATATTCCTCCAATCTCTTGCATTGTTTCTATTTTGTCACGATAAACTATCATTTATATTTATTTTTAAACTAAAAATATTTATTTTTAAAATAATAAAAATATTTAACATAATTGGCCATAATTGTAAGCTATCGTTTTTGTATTGTTTAGTGAGAGGGACAGGAAATACAGATTGATTGATTAGTGTTTCCGGGAGCGCCAACTGCTACGTTCACTCGTTCCATAACTGTACTGCAAACCTTTTTTATCATGTGATGGCGTTGATCTTCCAGTGCTGGATAGGGAAAACCAGGTATCTCCCACCAACAGGGCACCGCCCCGGTCGGGACAAGTACTAGGCTCCCGAGTAGTATCCCAACACGTGAGGTACTGTGGAGCATGGATGTGTACGTGTAAGTAAAGGGTGAAGATAGGACAAGGAAGAGGAAGGAAATATCGCGCTCGTTCAGAAATCCGTTTGCTAGAGGACTGCTCCGGCATTCATTTGGTGTAGATCGAATAAACCACGGAAAGCTACCGATCAGAGCAGCCGGCCGCAAGCCATCTCCTCGAAACAGCGGCAGTTTTCGACCTCGAACCATAGAACCTCCCGGTCAGAAGCAGAACATTTCATCAGACATCAATTTATTCCCTGAGCCGCCTAAGTTGGTCGGGAAGGAAAGGAGACCGGGGAGATGTCCCCTTCCGGGAAAGGAAAGGAGAAGGGGGACGAAAGGGGTCGGCGAAGGCAAAAGACGGAAGGCGCTCGCCAGGCCCCTCCCCCGACCCACGTGGTTATTTGCGAGCCAGCTAATCCAGGCGTAAATTTCCGAGGGAAAAAGATCCGAATGCTTTATACACAGATTTCACGGGATGTAATTCCGCGCAGATCGGAAAGAGCAAACGCCGGGCGGTGGGCGGCAGGGCCGTTTGCATGCACAAGACGCCGCGCCGCGCCGCGCCAGCCAACTCATCTCCCTCGGGGCGGGGGCGGCGGCGACGGCGCAGGAAGAGGAGGGGGGAACGGAGGACGAGGAGGCGAGGGGGAGGTGGCGTGGGAGAGGAGGGGGAAAAGGGGGAGGAATAGAGGATGAGGTGGCGTAGGGGAGGTGGCGAGGGAGAGGTGGGGCAAAAAAGGAGGGAGGAAAGGAGGAGGAGGAGGCGAGGGGATGGAGGCGCGGGAGAGGAGGGAGAGGAAGGGAGAAGAGGAGGGGGTGAGGAGAAGGGAAAAATGAAGGAGAGTGGTGACAGGGAGGTGGCGAGGGGGAGGAAGGGCAAAAAAGGAAGGGAAAGCAGGGAGAGGAGGCGAGGGGGAGGTGGCCTGAGAGAGGAGACAAGGCAGTAGAGGGAGGAGAGCGGAGGGCGGGGAAGCGGAAGGGGAGAAGGAAGAGGGAGAAGGAAGAGGTGGTGATGCAGGAGGAGTGGACACGGAGGAAGGGGGCGAGACGGATGTGGAGGGAAATGGATAAAGGGGGGCTGAGGAAGAGGTGGAGAAGGAAAGCGGGAGGAAGCGATAAATAACGCCGCCCGCGCAAACGGTGGCGCCCAACGAACTGTGCTGAGCCTGTCGCCCGGTGATTGCTCGCCGCTCTTTTATTCGCTATACGGAATCTTGGAGGCTGTCGCAGCCCAAATGACAAAGCACTTTCGCCATTGATTCCAACGAACTCGCAATGAACCAAATACACTCGTTCATACATCTTATACTATCGTATGTCCTATCCTTCCCAAGGATGAATGCATTTTTTTCGATTTACTCGGTTGTCTTCAATTTAAATGTGAATTTTGATGCCTTTGACGTCATCTGCGGTAGGAATAGTATGCTAGTCTACCGTCGTAGCTGGTAGTTGCTACCAAGTAGCTGTGCGAATAAAATAAAAATGGATGATGTCTGGCACTTCCCTGCAGTAAGAAGGTACACCAACTACTTTTTATCACAAATAACACGATGCCTTTAATTTCATTAATATGATATTATATTTTGATTCCAATGTATAATACACATATGGAATGAAGCCTTGTTTATGAAACTGATCGTAGATGGGTGCTGACAGGTGTAGACTGTCGATGTAAAGCAAACTTTGAAAAGCCGAGAACTGTTGAAATCCCATTCTAGACGGTAAAAACTGGAAAAACAAGTATTTTGAATCGTCACAAATGAGGTTTCTATAGAGATGTTAAACATAAACTAGTGATGCTAAAACAGCACATACATTCTCGCCGTTAATGTTTACGTAATACTATTTATACCGCAATTTTTCTCCGAATTAACACATCTCAGTCATCATTTTTTGTAAAACTGAAATTTTCTAAAAATTATACACGACCTTATTTCAAAATCTATCTTTGAAGGAACAGATTTCATTGAAGAGAAATGAAAATTTCAGTGTTGTGAAAGCCATAACTCGGAAATGAAGCATTTCCGGACATATGTTGTAATGAACTATTTTGATTGTCTACATACGAGGGAATACATACCTGAAATTGTGCTCTCTATTTTTGAAACACCCTTCGCACAGTACATCGCATTTTTACTTACACAGAATATCGAAAAAGTTGCTGTTTCGTAACGCAACTCTTAAAGAGCAAATATTTAATGGCAACCGGCATCTTCATTCGAAGCTTGTTTTTGCATGTCGACACCTGTGTCGTAAGTACTGACGCAAACTGTGAGAATTGAGTTTGTACGTGCAGTATGAGAATGTACGGAATAATACAATTCAACAATACACAATAAATATTTATTTGTGAGAAAATTGTTAATTGAAATTTAAATATATACTTTGGAGTCAGCTTAATAGTAACGTACAATAATTACAAAGTTAACGGAATTGGACAAATAAAAAGAATAAAAGGTTCCAAAAAATGTAAAATTATTAAGATATGCGCTTTTGAAACAGAACGTATTCATAGTTATCTTGTATGTTAAAATAATGCAATTGAACGGCATTACTATTTCATTTTAAACCATTTTAAATGGCACACAATTTTGTGTACAATAATGACATAAAAAGGACATGCAGTGTGATAACATTATACAATTTGTAAACAAATAATGGATAAAGTTATAAATGCATTACACAAAAAGGAATTTGGAATATCTTCTGATATCTGACTCAACCTCTCACCAACATCTGAAAGAAGATGCATAAAAACTCAAATCATATAAATAATGAAACGATTTATTAATTTCTGATTCCACAATCAAGCCTCTTTTTCTTTCACTCACCAGAAACAAAATATGGGAAATGGAGTGAAAAATGGCAAGGGAAAAATAGCCAAAAAATGAGCAAAAACATCAAAGAGCTAAGGAACCAGCGGAGAAGTCGATATGGAATAACGTGGGCGATGCACACAAAGCAAACAAGCACGTACGTGACCCGAATGTGCGAAGAGAGAATATATGGCCTGATGGGTCGTTGGCTTCCCGACGTGGCGCGAATGCTGGAGGGCGGCGCGAGGAAGACTGCCCAACGACCTCTAGTCCTCGCGATAGCATCTTCCGACGCGGCACACAGGAGGCACGTTTTAACGTCCTTAAAGAAAACTCGAGCATTCAGAGCGAAACGATTCACAAATTTGGTTAGGTCTAGAACGCGGAGCTTTAGCTTCCGGAAATGTTTTGTTCGTAAGCGGAATCAGCTGTTTCTTACTCTTAGGCATGGGCAACAGTACATTAGTATTTTATAAGTAGTGTACGGTATAAAGCATTCCGTATTTATTACATTTTATTAATTAATAACTTATTTTACTTCAGCTAGTCTTTTTATACTTTTACTTAAATCTCAAAATTTCGCCACACAATTCTTTTTTAATTCACACATTAATAAAAAATTGGCGTTTTTTATTGTCGCCGTATGTCATTTTCTATTAACTCCTACCGTCACGTTAAATTGAATCTCATCGCATTTGAAAACTTGATGTCAGTCGACTCAGAGTTATGGAATTAAAAGGTACAACATTTCACCTACGACAGTTTCCTCCGACATCACATACGTACTTTACGTTTTTTCTCGTTCTTCCTTCTTCCCGGGACGACGGGAGCGAGGATCCATGTTCGGGGCCGCCTTGCTTTCAGGTAGCGGAAAGTTGCTATTATTCGACGTTTCCTCCTGCCCTATAAAATGAATATTTTTATTAGTGGTAAGTACATTTCTGAGACCACGAAGCCCGTTGAGAAAGGCCCGTTGAGAAAGGCGAATTAATTAAAGAGATTCATTTTATAACGCAGGAGGTGTAACATTGACCTAATCTCATCGGCCACTATAGAAACATCGACGTATCCCATCGAGAACGTTATTTTTCTTAACGTCATTAGGCCGATAAATAGCAAATACCACACTGTCGGTCATAAATCTTGACTATCGCCTCAGTTGACACACTTCAAGTGCATATGCTATTTGTGTTATCTGCCTTGGGTCGTTTTCACCAGTTTCCTACAAGAGAAAATCATATAAATATCATTTCTTGGAATAAGCATACTTGGAATAACATTACTTAGCTACATCCTATTTGTTTAATTGTTGTCAGCGAACGGCGGAATGATACGGAATGGCAGTGATGTTGTTTTGTTTTTTTTGTTGTTGTTTTTTTTTTTCATTTCTCTGTTGGATTGCGTTAGGTTTATTATCATTAGCCCGACGTAGAACACATAATAGACTCGGTTGAAGTTGGTAAACCGTGGCGACAGCTGAGCCGAGCAGGCGACCTAACACTTCAACCCCGGTAGGTCTCAAGTTAAACACATCACGCTCTGGCAAATCTCTGGCGCCTGGCGGAGATCGAACTCGCAACCTCCCAAGCACAAGTATGCCTGATCCGTAATGGATTGCCTAATAGATTGCCGCGTTGGTGTGTGTACACGATAAACAATAAAACTAGTTCTCCAATTACGACAGCAATCACTTTCGCTCGCTTCTCAGAGAGACAGAATAGAACACGATAAATTGCTGGAAATATGGAAAACAGGAGGCATGTCAATTTTGTGTTCTTCACTGTCAAAAAACAACATAAAACATTGGCAATATTTATAACATTTTCAAGGCTATTTTCAGCTACCTTTGATACTGTTTAGAAATAGTTTATATTGTTCTAATAAGTAAATAAGAAGTTCCACCTCTGCACGTCATCAATAGAAAAATAGGCATGTATTTGGAACCTCTACCTAAAAATACAACAAAAGGCAGATATGAGTCCGCAAAGTCAGTCCCACTTTTGAACAATTAGGCCGTAAAATGTTTTGCAGCATTCAAAAATGAATTTCTGTGAAACATTTCAGAAATGTTAACACATTTGTATCTCTAATATGATACTTCTGTTACGACACTGACACAAAAGGAAAGAAATAGACTTAGGGCTTGAATCGATTTTTGTCGTCCCGTTTCACAAAGTAACCCCGCACGAGGCTGAAAGAAAACAAACACAATGATTAATTTCTTCATTGTGTGTGAACTCCTAGAAACAATTTAGATATTTCGCATCATTTTATGTGATGACACTTCACTTCTCATCACGAAGAAATGTAGCTAACTCCTATTTATTAATTCTGATTGGTCAACAAGTAATGTAAAAATGTAAAGATCATACTTCCCGATTTTTAAGCAACTGAAAACATACGACTAAATACTATATCTTACGGATTGCATTACAGGGATATTTTGTGGGGGTATTTTTTTTAAAGAAAGGCCACTGACAGGAACTGATGTAACGGTAGAGATCGCCTTTCTCTCCCCGTGTCCGTACCACCCGCAACAAAGCCTCGGTTACACCTCAGAAGCCACGTGTACGCCATCGTGTCGGGCGGGGCAGCAGGGGCGCGGCTGTCGGCGGGGTTTAGGGCGAAAGCTGACAGCGGACGGAGGCGGCGGTCGGCCCGTGTTGACCTCCCGCCCGTGGCCCGCGCCGGGGCGCCTCTCGCTGCGAATATCAACTCCGGCACCACGCCACGCCCGCACCCCCCTCCCCCTCCGGAAAGAAGAGATAAAAAGTAGGTTGGGAAAAAAGAATAGAGTGGGGGAGAAAAATTAAGAGTGAGGGGGTTAGAAGTGGAAAGGGGTAAGAGGGGGGAGGTTAAGAAGGGTGGGTAGAGGTTGAGGTAAAGAAGTTGGGGTTTAGAAGTTGGAAGTTTTAGAGTGGGGGTAGAGTTGGCGGGGGTAAAGAGTGAGGATGGTGAGGGTAAGAAGTGAGAGAATGGAGATTAGGGAGGATGGAGATAGATGAGAATGGAGATGGAGAGCTGGGATGCGAGTGGAGGATCGGAGAGAATAGAAGTGAGAGTGAGAGTCACAGTTGAGTGGAGACTAACAGAGAAGAGGTGAGAGTGGGACGCGCACTCAACATTAGCTGCTCAGGCCTCTCAACCACGAGGACGAAGACACACTGTGGCCATCGTTGTGCGGCGTATGTTTGATTTTGAGACACACATCTTTAGTAAACTTTCACATTGCGCGTAGAACTTGAGTGCTTATGCAATCTATAAAACTGAGTCATGGGAAAACCTGCTGTTCGCACAAATTCCGCTGCCAGAGGGAGGGAGGCTAACCAGTTCCACTCATATTGGCAAAGCAGTCGTCGTATATCGGGTTCAAATATCTTGAAAACTGTTGCTCGTCTTCGTTAATAACTCCGCTAACAAAGATACTTGCAATCCACGGTTTCATCGTTAGTTTTTTATGTTACATGTCTTCGTAGAAATTGTTAACATCAGGGCAGGGCGGGTGGGGACGGTGCGTTGCGTTTGCGTGGCGATGCGCGGGGCGGGCGGGCGCGTAGGGGCACGGCATGGTTCGTCGAGGGTGAGGCAGAGTGTTGAAGCGTGGCGGGACGGACGTGCGTTGGCGTGCGGGGGCGGGAAGGGGAGGGAGGGCGGGGCGAGCGGTTGGCGGGCGACGTGCATAAGCTCGTTGAGCGATAAGGCGGGAGGGGGAGCGTGCGGGCGGGCGTGGCGGCAGGGCGGGGCGGGTTTGGCGGCGACGTTGCATAGTCGTTGAGGATAAGGCGGGGAGGGGCAGAGCGTGCGGCGGGGGCGGAGCGGAGCGGGGCGAGCGGGGCGGGTGGCGGGCGAAACGGGCATAGGCTCGTGAGATAAAGGTGGGGAGGGGGCAGAGTGTGGCTGGCGGGGCGGGCGGGGCAGGGGCGGGGCGGCGGCGTTGCGGGGCGGCTGGCGGGCGGGACGGCATGGCTCGGTGAGACCGAGGGGCCGGAGGCCCGCCGCCGTGGCGGTCGGAGAGCGCCCCATGTTTCATAATGTGGCGGATATTGCGCTGCGTGGGGCTCAGGCGCGTGGAGCGGCCAAGGGTGGGCGGCCGGGCGGCGCGCGCGCGGATTAATAAAGACTGAGGTGTCTCCGCAGAAGCGACCTACACCTACTCCCACTCTATCACAGAGAAGGAAATTAAGAAGGCAACAGCCTAACTCCCACAATAGGATGGGGCGGACAAAGCACGTAAAACATAACATTTTCATGGCCATTAGGTAGAGTGGCGGTAATAGAGCTCTTTTATACATGCTGTTTACAGTTCTTTCATAATTGACGGAGGCGACACGCACAACCTATTTCAACGTTTACATACTTAAAGAGTTATTATACAACTGGTCTTTCAATTCAATAGTTAACAACTTCTAAGCGATGTAGTGTGTGTCGGGAGGGGGTCGAAACCTGATCACTATTTCCCACATGAACATCGCGATGGGACAAACTATCATATCAAACGATGTTACTCATAGACCCGTACGTCTTCGTTGTTTGAGTGCACTGATTCAACGACAAATACACATGGCTTCAGCAGGCAGCCGAACACACGATTTTATTTTCGCACTGTTTCTCAGGCTGACTCTTATTTTGTTACGAGCTTCTTTATGAAAAAGTGCAGCGTGTGAGGAGTTGATTCTGCCTTCCTCCACTCCCTCCTCCCTGGCTTGGGGCCGAGCCAGTGCCTCTGCTATATTCTGCTCAGGTGGAGCCTCGGATTGTGGCTTAATCTGGTAAAATCAAGGCCGTGGGTCGGACGTTAGGGCAGCACAACACGGAGGGGCGGCAGGAAGTGCGACGGCGTACGGTGAAGGCGTGCGTGATTGATTAAGTGAGTGCGCGCGTTACAATGAAAGTGCATGAGCGAAGCGCGTAGGGTCAGAGTGAGTCACCTAATTGGAGTGGACGGTTGAAGGCGCCTGGACAAGTGGAGTGAGGTTAAAGGGGAGTGCAGGGCGGTGGGTGAAGGGCGTAGGGGCGCGTTTGCGTGGCGGCAGAGCGGAAGAGGCATTAGGGGGTTACTGGGTGTTGTGAAGTAGGGCGGGCTGGGGGACCAAGTAACAGGGTGGGTAGAATGAGATCAAGCGTCTTTGATCCGGACGCGCAGCGGGGCGAGGGGAGGCGAGGCGAGGCGCGGGGAGTCGAAGGGAGTCGGCACGGTCGGGTCGCGGGTCGGGTCGGGTCGGGTTGTCGGGTCGGAGTCGCCGTTCGGCGTCGGGGTCGGGTCGGGTCGGGTCGGTCTTGGGATGGGACTGAGAACGCAAGACGAGACGGAGGGTCGGCAGAGCGACGAAGGGGCGCTTGCTGAAGTGATGAGGGCGGGGCGAAGGGCGTGGCTAGAACGTGGGCGGGTTTCGGACTTGGCGCTGAGTGAGGGCGGTGGTGCACGCGGGCGGCGAGGTATTGTGCGAGGCGTAAGCAGGACTGATCGGACGCGCGAGTCGAGACGGCGAAGCAGGAGCGGAGGGGGCTGGACCGTGCGCGGGAGAGGGGGGGA